GCCCGGGCAATCTTCACAATTTCACAACTCTTCAATTTTTGTCGGAGATCATGAACTTTTAAGCAATACAAGCCCATTTTTTCGTCTTTCTTTTCGAATGTTCCATCAATCTGCCCAACCACTAGCTGGGAATCACTAAAAATTTTGATATTTTCAAGATCAAGATTAATGGCAAGTTCCATGGCTATGATGACAGCCTCATACTCTGACTCATTGTTGGTTGCCTCGAATTCGAACCTAAGTGCACACTGAATGTCCATGAGCATGTCCAGGCTCATTATGATGACCCCTGCGGCCGAGCCCGAGGAATTTGATGCTCTATCCACGAAAATTTGCCAAACATCTCTTGTAGTGCTCGAGCTCTCATCTGGCCCCCAAGGCCTTGGGGTGAGTTCTGCAATGAAATCTGCTAAGGCTTGGGCTTTGATGGACAAACGGGGTTTGAACTCTATGTCATACTCTCCAAGTTCAATTTCCCACTTTAGTAACCTGCCTGAGACGTCCAGCTTTTGAATGATGTGTTTCAGAGGCTGATTAGTGAGCACCACAATGGGATGAGATTGAAAGTATTGCCGAAGCTTTCGTGCTGCCACTATTAGGGCAAAGGCAAGCTGCTCGGCTAAAGTGTACCTGGTCTCTGAATCAAGTAGGACTTTACTTACGTAGCAAATGGGTTGCTGGGCTCTGTTGACCTCTTTCACCAAGACGCCACTCACTGCGTTTTGAGACATGGCTAAGTATAACAGCAAAGTATCACCAGGCTCTGGTTTAGTAAGGATAGGAGGAGACACCAACGTCTGTTTGAGCTCCTGAAAAGTCTTCTCACACTCCTTATTCCATTCAAAGGATTGGCTATCTTTAAGAACTTTAAAGAAAAGAAAGCACTTGTCTGCTGCCCGGGACATGAACTTGTTTAGAGCTGCTACCCTACCTGTTAATTTCTACACTTCTTTCTTAGTCCTGGGCGATTCCATTGCTGCCAAGGTTTGGATCTTATCGGGGTTTGCTTCTATCCCCCGATGAGTGATCATGAAGCCTAAAATTTTTTCCCAAAGTTACACTGAACACACACTTCTCTGGGTTGAGCTTCATCCGATATTTTTGTAGGGTGGCGAACACCTCCTCCAGGTCGGATATGTGCTGCTCTACCTTCTTACTCTTTACCACCATGTCTTCAGCATAGGCCTCGATGTTCTTCCCTATCAAATCAGTGAAGACTTTGTCGATGAGCCTCTGATATGTTGCCCTAGCATTTTTCAACCCAAACGGTATCACCCTATAGCAGTATATGGCTAAATCAAACATGAATGAAGTCTTCTCATGATCTTCCTCGGCCATGAGGATTTGATGATATCTTGAGAATGAATCTAAGAAGCTATACAACTTATGTCCGAATGTGCTATCCACAAGATTGTCTATTTTGGGGAGCGGGTAACTGTCTTTAGGGCATGCCTTATTGAGATCTGTAAAGTCGATGCAGACTCTCCATTTACCACTGGCCTTCTTCACAAGAACAACGTTAGCGAGCCAATCGGGGTATTGGACTTCCTTTATGAACCCCGCTCTCACCAGTTTGCGGACCTCTTACTGAATGACCACACATTTTTCTGGAGCAAACTGCCTCTTCCTTTGCTTAACAGGTTTGGCCCTTGGGCTTATATTGAGTCTATAGACTGCTACTTCAGGGTCTATCCTTGGCATATCCTCGACCTTCCATGCAAAAACAACAATGTTGCGGGACAAACAACTGATGACTTCCTCCCGGAGGGTGGCCTTGAGATCTCGACCAATTGTTACCATTTTTCCATGCTCGAACTCGATCACTTCCAATTCCTCAACCGAGGCAAGTCTACCCCTTGGCTCGAGCTCAAGCTCGAGGTCTGAAAGTTGCATGACGTTTGTACTCATTCCTCGGATGCTAGTAACATAGCATTTTCTGGCAGCTATTTGGTCTCCTCGAACTACCCCATGCTATGACCTGTTAGGAACTTCATGGCTACGTGGAAAGTTGATACAATGGCTTGTATCTTGTTCAGTAGGGGTTTTCCCAAGATGATGTTGTAAGCCATAGGAGTGTTAACCACTTGGAAAATCATGATCTCCGTCACTTGTGCATTGTCAGAACCCAATGTTAGCGGAAGCTCGACGATGCCTTTCGGGATAATGACTCCACCACCAAATCCTTGTAGAGGAGTTTTTACTGCTTCGAGCTGTTTGGAAGAGATCCCCATTTTAGCGAAAGCCTTTTATGAGAATATATTTGCTACACTCCCATTATCAACCAGAATCCTCTTTACTTCAAAGTTAGCCACAATTGCAGAGACGACCAGGGCATCGTCGTGAGGATATGATATTCCTTCTAAATCTGTTGTTACAAAAATAATGTCTTTGACTTTATCATGGGAATCTTATGAGGTATGAGCATGTTAGCGGGTTTATTGCTTTTGCCCACTACTTGTGTCTCCTCCAGATGCTATGCCTCCAATGATAATATTAATGGTCCCGATAGTGGGTTGAGCACTGCTTCCGACTCCAGGCTCTTTCTGATTGTCACAGTCATTCCTCGGGCATTTATCATGACCAATGTAATTCCTTAAGAGCCCTCTTTTAACGAGGGCTTCAATTTTCAACTGCAAGGCTTGAAAATCCTCCGTGGTATGCCAATGATCTCGGTGAAATTCACAATACTTGCTCCTATCTCTTGTGTCAGGGGGCGATTTCATTCTTGAAGGCCACTTCAACTCTTTCATAACTTTGATCTCCATTAAGATATTTACCTTGGAGGTGTTCAACCGGGTGAGAGGCCCCGGTGGCCCTTCATTCTTACGCTTGTCCTAAGGATGCTCTAGCCGGGAAACGGGATCATGTTGCTTCTTGTTCTTGACCTTTTCATGGGAAGGACCAGATCTCCTTGTATTCAGCGTTTCCTCCATACTAATGTATTTTTCAGCTCAGGTGAGGAGCTCAATCACTATTTGTGGCGGGGTCTTTGATAGGGACATCTTGAAGGCTTTATATCTTATCACGTATGTGAGGGCAAAGATAGCTATCGTAATGTGAAGATCAGATATTTGAAGTCTTTCCTTGTAAAACCTCGTCATAAATCCTCGTAGGTTTTCATTTGGTCCTTGGCAAAGTTGTATGAGAGAGGTTACAGTCTTTCTGATTCGCTTGCTACTTGCAAAGAAAGCTGAGAACTTATCAGCCAAATCTGAGAATGAGGCTATGGAGTTGGGCTCCAATGTCGAGAACCAATCCCTAGCAGCATTAGTCAGTGTTTGCGAGAAAGCTTTGCACATAACTTGATCCAGTGCTACTTGTAAGTTCATGACATCTGTCTATACATTGAGATGGTTGATTGGGTCGGTCATCCCATCATACTCTTTAATGCAAGGATATTTGAATCTATCAGGCAGGGGATATGACAATATCTCCGACGTGAATGGGGTGTTAGGGATAAAACCCGTTGGCCCCCGAGCATACCGTTGCAAGTCGACTGTAATTCCTTCTTGAATAATTCGAGCAATCTCTCCGAAATCCGTAGCAACCAATCTCAAGCCTGAGGCCATGTTACGAATCCTCGATGTCCCTACTTCGCCAGTTGCAGGGTTTGGTGCTCGGGCTTGAGCATCGCCCATAAAACACCATGCTCTGCCTACACCAGTGACGAATGCGAATTTCTTTGACTTAACAGCTGCGTTAGCATGACCACCTGCTGATGAAGCTCTTCGAAAGCTTTAGTTGTGACGACCGCCGGCTGGGGTGCGGGCACTTCTGACGACTCTTCTTGAGGAGCTGGTTGATCTTCAGCGGGATGAGGGATGCGAGCGGATGAGCTTGCGGGAGGAAGACCTGATTGCGTGTTAACCATGGCTTTTGGTTGCGTTTCCCACAGACAGTGCCAATGATGCTATCAAAAATCGTACCTGTTGATTTTTCGAGCTTGAGGACCCTGGATGAGCACGATCATAGTCTTCCGGTACCTGAAATAAAGGTAACGATGTATGTTCTCGTCGTCCCTCCGATACTTAAGTCAGAAAGGGAATTATATGAGTGATGCTATAAATAGGAGAATAATGAAAACGTACCTGAATAATGTCCAAGGTTGGTATTTATAGGGGTATGTAGTACATCCCGATAGAATTGGAATCGGGTAGATGTTCTTATCCGATAGAGTTGTTTGTGAGGAATGTCCTACTCGTAATGGAACTGTTTTACTAGTGATATTAGAGTTGATATAGAGCCTTTGGGCGTTTAGGTGTCTGTTCATCGAGCATATACATTTCGAAGATCTGTTGATGAACAATGACCCGAGGACATATTCTCGAGGACAACAGGGGGTGAATTTTCATATTCATATGAGTACCGTCCTCAAGATTTAATCCTTGAGGACTAAATTATCCCGAGGACATTTTGGCAGAAAAGTGAGACAGATCAAGTAGGGAGTCCTCGAGGAAAAAGGTCCTCGGGTATGCAATATTGGTATTATCAGAGAGTATTTATTTAGATGTTCGGCCATATGCATATTCCAGGTGATGAGAGATCAAAGTATGACCCAATGTCTAAACAGTGTATCTTCTCGGGTTTGAGAAGGGAGTAAAAGGGTACAAGCTGTGGGATCTTCTTGCAATAAAGGTAGAAATTAGCAAAGACGTGATATCTGATTAAAATTCAATGGTAGTGGTACTCAAGAAGAAAAGGCAACGTATTTTAGCAGCAAGAATTAGTAGATAGTGCAAGTTGTGTTAGAGTGAGCATTCGAAGAGATGAATAATCATAATTTAGAAGCCTCTACCTCAAGTGGTCAGATCACAGTATAACTATAGGAAGACTCAGGCGCACTATCAAGCCACCATTGAGGTATGATTTTGAAGAGTTGATTTCTTATGCACTTTTTATTGGTAGTGATGATCCTACTACCTTTTAAGAGGCTATGGAGAGTCAGGAGAAAGACAAGTGGGTCGAAGCTTTGATGGAGGAGAGTCTCTACATCAGAACCAAACTTGAGATTTGGTGGAGTTTTTGAGGACAATCGAGCAATTGGGCATAAGTGGGTGCATAGGAAAAAGGACAATGAGAAGTTTAAGTATTGTTTGGACTAAATCAATGTATCAAAGTGCTAGTTGACAGAGCAGAGCGGATGGGCCAACGTGCTTGATCCCATAGCAGATCATGGTTTGAAGTTAGCGAATTATTTTTTGTTGTACATTGAACGAAGACAAATTATCAAATCACAAATGTAATAACCACGAAAGTCTATTAAAATGTTGGAAGTGTACACGCAAAAAAAGGGCGTGGCATACGAAGAAATCACGTTGGGATAAGATAGTAAATTGCTAGTAAATAACTTCTCATAAAAGGAAAAATAGAAGAATTTCCAGTACCAAAGCAATCAATTCCCGCCTTTGTTCGACCCAATTTTTCTATCTCCTGGAACTTAATTTTTCTAATTTCCTGCACCTGAATTTGATTTTCATCCTGGCTGAATCTCAATGGACGACTCGTTAGTTCTCTACATACTGTTCTGAATTCCTTAATTTTGTTTTTTGTTCCTGATTACATGCTGCAATTTTTATATAATAACTTATGTTAAAATTTTTGCTTATTGCTAATTTTTTATGTAAATTTTCGTGCAGAAAATCATCCGCAGATGATGGGGAGATTAATGCTGGGTGTGGAATCAAATCAAGTGTAACGATGAAGGACGCAATCGCGTTTATGTATTCAGGTAAAACTGTACTTGGGGCTAAAAGCGATGGTTTTGTTAATCTTTTTAAAGACTACGCGGCAAAAAGGTTTAATTCTATCTCTGATTCTTAATTTTTCCGAAATTTTTTGCCTATTTGATTTTTGTGGATGAATTAATTCTGGATTAAAAATGTGTGTTAGTACTAGAACTATTAGTCCTCCCCGTTCCCTTTTTTTGATAATGACGACCTATTTTTTCTTATTCTTGGATGAACTTATATAATTTGATGATAGTTATGTGCTCACGATGATTTTCTTTCTTTTTTACCTCTTTCAAATTGGGGTTAAAGTGGTTGAGGCAAGCATTGTTAATTCTTGGACAAGCTCTTCAAATTGCCTTTAAAGTTTTTGTAATAAATCAAGAGGAGATTTTCTGAAAGGATTTTGCTCTGTGGAATGAATAGAAATGATTGCACAAACGATTACTGATTTGTTGAATTCGAAGGCTCCAAAAATGAAGTCTTAACAAATTAACAGCAGATTCGTCTTTAGCAAGTGATAACAAGTAGAACTCAATCAAAAAGAAGTATTTTAGAAATCACCAGTTGCAATGTGGTTGTAGTGTTCTGTGGTTTTAGAAAGTATGGATATTAAATGCCTTTTAGATATCTGGTTTGGCAAAAGAGAAGTTCTTTCACTAAGCAGTTTTTGGATATCAAATGGACCTTCCAAGACAATTTTAATGTGGTCGATTCCCTTATTTTGCAATCAGTTCTACTGCAGCACCCATTGCTCTAGCTAATTGTCAACCCTTTCTAAATGTTATTTTGCTTGAATTAGACATTCACTACATGCTTTAAATTTCGAAGGGAGTTATATACATATTCATTAAATTCTATATTTGCAGCGTGATTGAATAAAAGGTTGGGGTGGCGGGGTTACTGCGGTCCCAAAAATTTATTGAATCCTTATCTTCGCTGTTCACTATGATTACGTGTTCATTGTTTTCATCTTGTGAAGTTGGAGATTTATTATTGAATGAGTGAAGTGGTTTGCTTTGTGCAGAATTGATGCCAGGCAAGTTATATCAGGGGCAATACTGTTGTTAAAAGGGCACAGGGATGAATTAATCTTGTTGCAGGCTTCAATTTGTTCTTGCCTCAAGCACATGCGATTTCTGTTCCACTTGAGGATGATGCATTTGCAGGGGAAATGGAACCGTTTTTAGAAGATGCACTTAAATTCATTAAGAATGTCAAGGTAAATTGAAAAGCAACAAGATTATCTCCAGCCTGAGAAGCTTCTAAGATGTACACAGTTTTGCAAATTGCAGGAACAGCTGAATGCTGAACAACTTGCTTACTTCTTGAATCTTCAACATGAACATCAACATATGAGAAAAAGTTTTGAGGACTTGTACTCAGAGGTATAATTTAATCATTTGAATTTTTCTAGTGGATATTAATTTTATGCGGCTTAATAACCAGTAGGGTATTAATGTTGTCCAAGAAACACCAATGGAAATTTTTAAGCTACACCTTAATATATGAATGACTAGGTTTGGACTTGCAATTCTAGTGCATAGGTGTATAGTATTAAATTGTATTGAATAGTGCAAAAGACGAGTTTAGCTTTTAATTTCTTAATATTAATTAATTTACACCGACATCCGAGAGTTTACAATTGCTCACACAGCAGTGGCTTTCACGGTTGGTAGTGAATGCTGGGAACTTTTATCTTGAACTTTGATGTTTTTTGTAAGTAATCCATAAGTACTAAACATTCAACCAGTACACAGAATAGACCTTCAAGTAGGGCAGAGTTTCCCTCGATCTTCCCTAGCAGCATTTGTTTAATTTGTATTATCATTTTCTTTAGAACCATAATGTCCTTATTTGAACCATTGCATGTAGTGCAGATTATTAGGTTTTCATGCTTTGAAATATGAGTCAATTTTATTAGATAGTTATAACTGTTATAGGGCTTTGTCTATTGCTCCCTGGATGCTAGTTTACTGCTCAACAAATTGCAGATTGGCATTCTTTTCAGCAATAAGCCAGATCTGTTACAAGATTTTAACTACTTTTTACCTGCCTTTGAAGCCAATGATCACCCAAGATGAGATATCTCATGCATAAGCAGAATGAAAGTCCAAATATGGAGACAAGATTTTGTGCTTCCTTACTTGGCCCATTTTTAGTATGAAATATACTATACGCTATTGGGTATTTTGTTGCCAAACAACCTCCAACAGGCGATGATGTTTAACGGTTAATTTCATAGGCTCCGGCCGAGGATTGAGATATGAAATCAACACCCCAATTTTCATTTGTGGTTTTTAACGTGTGGCACAATTGAGAAAACATAAAGCAGCTGTTTCTTCCGTTGCGTGAACTATATAGCCGCAAGTTCTCTCTCCTCTTTGTGAGTTTGCAGCCAACTTCTCCTCTTTGTGAGATAAATTCTTTGTCGGTTATTCATATACTCGGGCAACCTTAGTTTATGATTTGTGGGTTGAGCAATTGCTCTTTGGTGTTGATATTGGTTTCTGTTACGTGTACATCAATTGAAGATCTGGTGAGTA